AACTTGTCATCACAGTTGTAATAGAGGCCCGACGCGACTAGACCCGACACTTATGGCCCGGCCTAAACTTGTCATCACAGTTGTAATAGAGGCCCTTCTCGCATCGGGCCTGCATCTCATTCCATGAGAGGCGTTTGAAGGGCATAGTGGGCCTGGGCAAAATGGGCTTCTGAGAATCCCCAACTTGTTTCATGGGTTGCTGATTGGTCCGTTGGGTAACTCTCACATTTGGGTAGGACAGCTTGCTGGCTCTGCGCAGGTTGTCGATTTTCTCTTCTTGCAGGCGAGCCAAACCCACCGCAACCATGACTGTCTCCGGACGGAGAGCCCTCACCTCCAGGCGGATATCCTCTCTGAGGCCTCCGACAAAACACCCCACTAAGGCCTTCTCCGGCCATCCATGTACACTGGTCGCCATTCTCTCGAACTCGAGCTGGTAGTCTGCTACCGTTTCAGTCTGCTTTAACCGAGTGAGGAGTTCGTCGTAATCCACGAACGTCGTCGGCCCAAAACGGATGCACAGAGCTTCAGTGAACTCCGCCCAAGTTACCTAAGGATGGTTTTGACGATACCACTGGAGCCATAGAATCGCGTCTCCTTCTAGGTGAATGGAAGCGATGGAGACGCGCTGGTGTGCAGGGGTTTCGTGGTACTCGAAAAATCTTTCTGCTCTGAAGATCCAAGGAATGGGATCTCCACCGGAATAGTTGGGAAAGTTGATCTTAGTGATTTTTCTAGTGGGGTAACACCCAGTTCTTTGGCTGCTGGAAGCAGAGGCTTCCGCCCCTACTGGGTGACTAGTCTCGCCAGATTGTTGTTGAGAGGCAATGCTGGAGACGACCACTTTGAGTTCCCTGAGTTCGTTCAGCACCTGGTGGAACCCAATCTCAAGCTGGTCGACTCTATCATCCATGGTAGAGGAACGTGTCTGCGGCATAGCTGGCCTGTGATCTGGATAGCCTGGCTCTGATACCAACTTGATGAGTTACCGCTCACCTCGGAAGCCCCTTTGAGGGTGGCTTAACCTCCTGAAACAGAAGATGAAGAGAAAGAAGAGAAGGGAAGGTAGGAAGAGGATGAACTCGGAGAGAGAAAACGAAGGGATATTCATTCACACCTTTTATTATATGATTATGGCCTTATATAGCTGGCCTACAGGTGTAATCATAGAGGGAATATCCTCTGATTGCAGGGTAACTAACTCTGGAAGATATCATGGAGGGAATATCCTCTGGCTACAGAGTAACCAACTCTGAGTGTAACCAACTTTGGGGCTCTGTCGCGTGTCCTTTCTGTCTCCTTGTGAACTACTGATGGGTGGTGGTCTGCTCCACTCCCATAGTTGGGTTCAGGGGGAGTGTTTGGGTCCAACACATTCCTTATTTTAAGGACTTATCTCCTTTTTGCATTTAAAATGCACCTATGAACACTAAGTTCTTAACAGCAAAAAGGAGATAAATCCTTAAAATTAGGAATGCCAAATGCTGCCTAAGATGGATGAGTGAAAAAACTAGAAAGAATAGGATTAGGAATGAGGTTATCCGTAGGAACCTAGGAGTAGCCCCAATAGGTGATAGAATGAGAGAGAGAGAGAGAGAGAGAGAGAGAGGAAGGGAGGGAGAGTAGACTAAGATGGTTTGGGCACATGCATAGAAGACTGCCAACTGCTGCATTTAGAAGTGATCTGTTACACATTGAAGGGGCTAGAGGAGGTCGGGGTAGACCAAAAAGGTCATGGGTATTAATAAGAAATGATTTAAGCACTAATAATTTTTTAGTGTATATGACTTTAAATACAATGGATCGGCAAAACAGGGTCCACATAGCCAACCCCATATAGTTGGGATAAGGCATGTATAAGTAGTAAGAAATGATTCAAGCTCTTGTTTTATCTGCTGTGTTATATCTGATATGGTGAGAAGCAAATACAATGTCATGCTCAGTAATAATGGTGCTAACTTGAATTCTATGTTCAATTGCTTTTTGTTCTTAAGACACAGGGAGTGAGATCAGGTGTGGTACCTTATAAAAGCATTCTTTCTGCTTTGAGAAGGATTTCACATGAAGAGGGGATCAGAGGATTGTACAGGTTGGTTGTTTCCTACTGAATTACTAGACCTTGACTTTAGGGTCCTACTTGCTATGTATAGTGGTATATCTATGTATATATGTCCAGCTATTTTCCACCTTGACTATGTCCAACTGAGCCCAACATTGGCTCCTGAATCCAGTCAGATCTCAAGTCTGGACCAATTTTGATCCAAGTCTCTTTTTTTCTTCATTATCCTAGATAGGCCACTCAATAATTCAGTACCATAATGTCGTTTTCATGTGAAAACAGTGGCCTTTTGCCTGCACTGGCTGGGGTAAGCCATGTTGCCATCCAATTTCCAGTGTATGAAAAGATGAAGGCTTACTTGGCAAGAAGAGGTAATTATGATGTTTGTTGAATGTCAAATCTTAAATTGTTTGGTAGAATTGATCTCACTGGTCATAATTGTCAAAAAATGTGCAGAAAATACAACCGTTGACAATCTTAGTCCTGGGCATGTCGCCATAGCTTCCTCAGTGTCTAAAATACTTGCTTCCACAATGACTTATCCCCATGAGGTATGGTCTTAGAGATGCTTCCATGGCTTCAGTAAGGGATGATCAATCACAGAATAATAACTAATTCTTTTTTTTTTTGATCAGTAACAGTGAAATTTTATTAATGATAAAAACAAGATTACAACCGAATGGAGCTAAAAGGTCTTAACTCCAGTTACCCAAGAACTTTCTGATCTTGTAGTGATTACAAAACAGCCCAGAATAATGTGTCTCTATTTACCCCTTGCCTAACTAGACCATCAGCCAATGCATTTGCACTTCTCTTTATCCAATTACATTGAATTTCCATGTCCCTGGTTAACCATTTGTATTTCCTCTTTTCATTGCTGTATTTCCACATCATAGCACTGTCCTCTGTTAGCCATTTCACCACCATTGCAGAATCACCTTCTATAACCACCTTTTTGATCTTCATTTCCTTGACCCTTTGAATTCCTTCAATAGCTCCAAGAATCTCAGCCCTCAATGAGTCTCCCACCCCAATCGGCCCAGAGTGCATGGCTAACACGTTCCCTGTTCCATCCTTTATCACACCTCCAATTCCTGAAGGCCCTGGGTTGCCTATGCTGCTACCATCAAAATTCAGTTTGGTGAATCCAATAGGTGGAGGACTCCAGCAAACTTTTAATAACTTTCTACATAGGCCTGAATCTGCAATCTCCTTCCAATTCCTTAACAACTCATCAACTGAAAACACTTTGAACAGCTCCAGTGTTCTCAACCATTGTGTCATTCTAATGTGAATGCTCTCTATAATTTCTTCCATACCTCTCTCTTTATTGTGAAGATCCTTGAGTTCCTCTCCTCCCACTGTCCAACATACTGCAGCTCTACCACACCTCCACATGATTTTAGCCCTTTTAGTTGGCCAATTAGGCATGGAAGAAAACAAGCTTTGAACACTCAAAGGGGGGGTCCACCTGCATCCAAACAAAGAATAATAACTAATTCTCTGCTCGTTCCCTTCTGTAATGTTTTCCCCTAAAATCAGGTTGTGCGTTCAAGACTGCAAGAGCAGGGGCAAGCTCGCAATCCTGAGGTCCACTATGCAGGTGTTACAGACTGCATAAAAAAGGTCTTCCACAAAGATGGTCTACCTGGCTTTTACCGTGGCTGTGCCACCAATCTGTTGAGAACAACTCCTGCAGCTATTATTACCTTTACTAGTTTTGAGATGATTCAAAGGTTCTTGCATCGTGTGTTACCTCCTGAACAGCAGCATTCACAAGCCCACCCAAAGTCGGATCATGTGAAGCACCAGCCAGAAACTGGAGGGACTGGAGAACAGAGAGACAATGAAATTTTGCAGCCTTCACAGACCCAATTAAATAAGATGAGCTCTTCAATCCCTTTGGGGGGCAAGGAGCAACTCACAGCTAGACACTGACCAACTCTTCTTTCGCCTGTGGGTTGGGTTGAAAGGGAAAGGCATAATTAACTGTGGAGGTGAATAAAATGATGCATTTTTTGAAAATTACCCTTCATTTTTATTTATTAATTTATTTTGTTTATTCTTTCCCTCTTTTTGTTCTCTCTTCTGAGTTTACTTGCTGATGGAAAGTAGAGACTCCATCACTAAAACATTTAAGTGTGGTGGGTACCCGGCATCTACATGGGTGTCATGAAGCATTTCATGGCCCTGATACAAATGCTGTCGCTTGTCTTTCTGGACTAGACTAAAAGGATATGAATCGTACCGCTAAGGCTGCAGACCATTGTGGGTTCTTTTGTTCTAGCGGTTGAAAATAAAATTCAGTGTCCAAATTCCAAAGTATCTGACTCGAGGGGTTAAGTTTTCAATCCAACAACTAATAAAAGTCCATGAGATGGACTGGATTCTAAATTTCCCATTATATTTTATAGAGAATTCGTAGCCTTGGTCCTTAGATTAGGCCGTTGGTACATTCTAAATTTCTAGCATCCCTATCTTATAAACAATGGGACTGCATTTCGTCACTGATCACATCATACGAGACTCAAACCGACGTCATTTTGGATGACCCATAAAATAAAATAAATGGAATTGTGTCAATGATTTGATTTTTTTTAGTAAACGAGGATATATATTAAAAGATAAAGGGAGAAGTACCAATCAGCCCAAGTCAGAATTTTGCCCAAAGTACAGGGGAATGCATTCTGACCGTGAATTGATGCCAAATTCACGGGCAGGATGTGGTTTATAGGGGGGAGAGGGCTAATTGTAGGGGGGGGGGGGCGCTGGAATTCAGAATTCTGCATTGTGTGTATCCGTACTTTTCCGAAAGATAAAAGGCAGAGCAATACAATCAAAAGGATTAAACAGGTCTAATGGAATTATCAATTATGCCAACGATTTGCTTGCCGTGATAATCGTGGCTGTGGCAGTTTTAAAAGAAGAATGCTAAGCATTCAAAATTCTGTTTTCTTTGTATGTCAAAACATCCTATATTTACGGGACTCGCTTCAAAAGGAAGAGTGTTGCAGATTTGTGACATAAGATGATTTGTAAGGTATACAAAGAGAAAAATTGTATGTAAATACTGACTGGTCAACTGATAAGTGAATGGGTCTTAAAAAATGCCATCAAGCATCAAGTCTTGTCTTCCAGAAATATCAATACTACCCAATAACCATACAACTTTCTTTTCTGATGGCTGTGGTTTTGACCAGAAAAGATGGAAGACTTGTATGCTTGTCCTAGGTCGATGATAATTATTCGGGTTTCAGAGGTTACTATTTTGACTGGACTGGGTGGTCTTCGGAAATTTTGAATACTGCAGGTTCCCATGCAAGGTTGTTAATATGTCAACTAGACTTGTCAAGTAAAATCATCTTTATATTTATTTTGCTTGCATGTGAAAAAAAGGCAGTGGGTTAAAATTTCCTAATCTTTTATTTTATTTTATTTTACCCGTATGTTAGATTCGTATTCATTCATATATTCTTCTTTTTCTTCTTAGGTCTAGTGAAAATGGCTAATTAGTTGGGTAATTTTTCCTGCCTCTGTGCTTGTTCTTACTGTATCCTATTAGCCAAGTTTAAAAGATTCAGAAAATTTTGGCTATTTTTTCTTCTTGTTTCTACTTTCTACTATGGCTCAGTTTGGGAAGAGTGAAAACATATTTGTATTTACTCTCTTCCCAAACCGAATCCATATTTTCAAAGTAGAAAAATAAAAAAAAAAAGGTTAGTTTTGCTTTATGAGTAGAAGACAAACTTTACCATTAGTTTTCACTCGATGCATAAGCAGACAAAGTCATTTATATTTATGTTTGTGACCGCCTTTCCACCTTGCCAGATAGACATGTACATGGTCATCATGACTCATGAGAATGCTTCTTGCTTCTGTTTCTAGGTTCCCAAGTACCTTCTTTCATTATCATATATTTTTCAGACTGAAATGTTTTGGCTATTATTTTTAGAGTCCGGGATCTATTACCTACAACAGTACCCATAACATACTCAGCCACGCATCAGAGATATCTCAGTTGTCATTCATGGGAGTTGTAAATGTAGGGCATACCAAAGCACTTATTTTCATCCCTTTTTTAGTGAGATATTTGGTTTTTATCCCTTCTAATGTGTTTTGATGTAAATGTAGGGCTGCAGATGGTCAGATCAAATTAGTTGTACTAAGTTTGAAATTTGATTCTTTAGTATCCGGATGTTGAATTGGATCTTATCCATTGGATTTAGATCAAATCCAGATTAAATATGGATATTGAATAACACTAATTAATTAATCAAACTAAAATGATTAATATCTATATCTATACTGCTATTATAAGTATGAATGAGCTTGTTGAACTCTCCTTCTTAACTAATAAAGTACCCCCTGTGTTTTGAATTTGGTCCCTCTCTAATTGTGAGGGAAGAAATGTAATTTGAACTAATACTTTTCACCTTGTATATTTCTCTAAATAATCATTCTCTTATTAAATCCTATATTTATTATATTTTTATCAGTAAATTCTATTAATCAGATCAATATCCAATACTTTTGAAAATATAAAACTCCTATCTTTTAAAATCAATCTGAAAATGAAATTGTTATTCCATCCAAGTATCAAGTAGGCAATTTAACCATTTGCATCAAAAGGATCAATCCATTTAGACACATATTTAATATTATATATTTTATATTAATCATATTAAATAAAAAAGAATGTGATAAAAAGGAATTGTTTTTATTGATAATGGAAATGAAATACAAAATTTAAAATCATCCCAAAAATGAAATTGTTTTCCTTTTTGGTGGCAAGTCAATCATTCAACCATTTGAGTTGGTCAAATGTGTCTACCCTTCATTCTAAAATTAAATAATAAAATTCATAAAATAATAGACAAAAAAGAATAAACATAGAAACTATGTAGAGAATGTTTGGAAACATCTTTAATATTATATATTCATCATATTAAACAAAAAATGAATGTGACAAAGAAGAATTATTTTTATGCACATGGAAATAATTCATCTAACTTAATAGGCATACAAATGGTTCCATTGGGAGGAAATTGTAATTGGAAAGTCGAAAATGGTTCCATGTGGAGTGGTAGAGAGGTTTATTGGTGAAAATTAAATTGTAATGACAAAAGTTGAAAAGTTGTTGTTTTCTTAGAGTGTTTAGTTGTTTATTTTCCTTCTCTTTTCTCTAATTGAAAAATTCAACAATAATCATATTTTTAACTTATTATATTCTTTTTTTCTTGAAGGAATGAGAGACCTAATCCAAGTGTTCCATTATAAGACAACTACATGTAGAGCAAAGTTGGTGCTCTTCAGGATGTGGAATCAATTTCTCATGACCATGGTTATTTAGTCGAAGGCATAACTCCAAATATGTAGATGGAGGCATTAGATCAAATTTCATGTTAATTATATTATGCATTAGATCAAATTTTGTGTTAATTAATGTATTATTTATATGATAAGGATTTGGAAATTGTAATATATTTTTAACCTAGTTGCATATAAGTTAAAATTGGAATGTAATTTTTATCTTTTATAATATCAATGAGCCCACATATTGGCATTTCACAAGTGTCTTTTGTTTAGATGCTTAACAATAATTGTTTTAATATTTGCAATAATTTATTAAATTAAATAGCAACAATTAAAATGATAATAGATAGCAATGTGATCAATTATTTTTTTTTAATATTTGGAAGCAATTACTTGATTGTTTCCCATTTAACAAGAGTTTTGAAGGTTTGTTACTTAAAATATTTATCAAAAACAAATTTTCAATTATGGCCATTGTACAATTAACAACCATTAACTTGATTGTTGTGTACGAAATTTTAAGGTAACAATTGCATGATTGTTGCTAATTCAATAACACTTTGTAAAGATTGTTGCCATAGATAAGCATAAGAAACAATTGTCTAATTGTTTTCAATTTACAATTGGCAACCATTAACATGATTGTTGTATATGGAACTTTGGGGCAACAATTGCTTGATTGTTTCCCAATCAAGGGTTATTGCTTGATTGCAAATTTATAATTAACAAGAACTAGTATGATTGTTGTTGAAGGTACCCTTAAGCAACATTTAATGGGTTGATACTAAAAATCTATATGGGCAACGGTTTTTATTAATTGCGCGGAAACAAAAATTTTGGCAACAATTACAATTGACTATTGCAAAACACTATTGTTAGTTGTTACCAACGGTTAGTCAAATTGTTATGAAAAACATATTTCGCAAAACGTGATTATTGTTAAATGCCAATTTTTTTGTAGTGTAAAAAATATATAAAAATTTGAACACACTATACTACTACCAGAAATGACTTTGATATTGTGTATATTAATAAAATAAATTGAGGCTAGCATGAGACTTGAACTTTTGAGCCTTTAGTAAACATATATTTAACGTTCAAATCAGGTTTATTAATATATAAAATATAACTTTTAAGTGGATATAAGCATATATGTTTAAATATTATTGGATCGTACGTAGACGGGATCTAAATATCTAATCTGAGGTTGCCAAGTGTGGGAACGTGATTATAAGTTTGAGAGCAGCCGCTTTATGAAAAAAAAAAAAAATTGTTAATTAAAAAACAAAAAACCAAAGGTTTAGATGGTATTCAGTCTATCCGTCTCAAGATCTCAAATAGGATTGGATCCATATGCAATTATATGAAGTGGAGTTTGGATCACCCTTAGGCTATGTTTGGTTTGAAGGAAAATGCAGGGAAAGGTAGGGAAACTTTTACAAACCTTGTATAGGTTTCCCTTCCTTTCCCTACCTTTTCCTTCAAACCAAATATAGCCTTAATGAGATCATATTCAAGTTAATCGTTTACAACCTTATGTAAATGGCAAAGAAAACTAAGTAAATATCGTCTAAGCAACATTGCACAGTGAATATGTAATTTATATAATTTAATAGTGCTTCTGTTATTATAAATTTGACACTTTAGCTCAGTTTAGAAAGAATACAAAACTACAAATACAAATATGTACAGTGCAAAACCTTGTATTTTGAAAATATATTTACACTGTATCTTTGCATTCCTTCCAAA